GGTTTATGGATCATATTGCCTGTTTTGCAAATCCCACACTAGTTCTTCACTGGTTGAAACATTCACTAACCCACACACTGTCCTAGTTCATACACTCACTGGTTCTTTCGCAAATACAAATATGGGTTTCTGGCTCCCACTGTTCCCTTCACCAACGCCGACCACCAACCTTGTGCATGGAACCTTGTTTCCCATTGTCCCGGACTGGTTCAGGTCACCCAGGGAGAGGACATGGACCTTAAGTTTGCGAATGAGTGAGCCGATGGTCTAAACTGCACGAATTTCACGAATGAAAGCTGCAAGTACCTGGAAATATGAAAGATGATGATACGATGGCATACCAATCAAGGGAAATCAAAGCTGCAAGTACCTGGAAGAATGAAAGGCGATGATGCGATGGCATACTAATCAATGTGAATCAATGTTATGTTTCAATGACTATCGACCTTCAGAAAAAAAGATGCAGTGATCAGCGACAGAGGTCTTTTTAACATGTTGAATGCAGTGGAAAACGCCTCCCACCCGGCCAAGTTACCCTCACTTATTAGATACCCCCACAGCCCCATCACGGCTATTCAAGCCCGTTGCAGCCCGTGGAGTGTGTCGCGATGTGGCAAAACCAGATGTTTTGCTGGGGAAGGGAAGATGTATCTCATACAAAACTTACTTCACACCACTTAAAGAATGTCTGAGACGATTGAGGTAAATCTGACAAGTGTATAAGCATAGGCGCCCAGGCGCCAAGAGAACCGATGTCCCTTGTTTCAAGTAGTTTGTTGGAACACCTCTTGCGCAACCCAGATGTGGGTCAGCGGACTCTTTCCGCCGGTTTTTGTCGGGTAATTGCTACAGTTTATGTTTTGCATGTGGGTCAATGTGGCTTTGTGCACCTATTTATTGTCTTTTTTTGTGTGCAACATGTTATACAATGGTGTGATATGTTACCACTTCGCATTCTTCATAAATCTGGTGATGATGATGATGATGATAATGATAATGATGATAGCTGATAGGCAACAGTTTCAATGCTACCGAAATCGTTGGCATCTGTCAGTCATTTCTGCTACATGACATCCGTCGTGCTTGGTGACGCACTTAACCGAATCCGCTACGACATAGACCACATTGTTACCTTTTATGGCATTTGTGGAGAGCTTTTGTTCTTAAGACACTTGTGTGGCCAGGAAAGCTTTGTTTTTATTCCCCCGCCCAATAAAAAAACAGAATTTGTAATGAGGTGGAGTCCCCTTTACTAAAATGACCACCTTCTGGCTTCCACTTGAGAGAAACCCTCTTTACGCCATTTACTAAAATAGTTAAATGGGCTCAGAAATGTAATGGAAGCGACATGATATCTACTACAGCAATCTATTCTACCTTGCCTTTGTCTCTCGCTCCTTGTTGCCTACTGGTGGCCGGTAATCGCCTTTCATACTGTCGGCGCATTTCACGTTTATTTTGCAACCCGTGCGCTAGCTCGCTAGCTTTTTGTTTCCTCGCTTACTGCATTAGCTAACCTTCATTATGGCTTGCATTATATCTGCCCACCTCAGCCCCATTGTCATCCAATTTCGTCTGGAGGTATATCCTTTCGTGAACGTACGCTAAGTGTAATGCTAGTGGGTGTCTACACAAATTCTCTACCATCGATGTTTTCAGATCTAAGGAAAAATAATGTTCCAACAGTTCATTTCGGTGTTCTGACGGATTTGCGACCGGGAGAAACTATTGCTAGAAGCCTTGTGATCGACAGGCTCCAACCTGCGCACATTGACAGCACATTATACAACCTGCGTACATTGACGGCGTATTACACAACCTGCGCACATTGACGGCGTATTACACAACCTGTGCACATTGACGACGTATTACACAACCTGTGCGCATTGACGACGTACTGCACAACCTGCGCATGTTGACAGTGTATTGCACACATCATGGGAAACCTCAATGTTAATCATTCGAAGCTTTCGACTCATCGCTCCCACTGGAGCTGCTGTCATCAGCATTATCACTTTCTTTGTCTGTGTCCGTCGACACGCTCACACTGTCGTCAGCTCCGCGAAGTTTTCTGATGGCTCCCTTCGGGTCCTTCAAGTCCTCCAAGCTCAGCTTTCTTCGCCAGCAGAGCACAGCCAGTGGGCACAAGAGGAGGAGCAAAATAAGGAGTCCAATGATGATCCCTATGCCGGCATTTCCCGCTAAACCCACCAGTTTGGATGCGAAAGGCACCGTGCTGTTGGTGTTGTTGCCTGCTGGGTTTTTGACCGTCAGCTTTTTATCGGGACGTGGTGAGAACTCTACGTGAAGCTTCATTCTCAAAGCATGAATAGAAACTGATGGTTCGCTAAACCAAATTCCCAAATCTGTACGCACCAAGAGATCAGCATGGTTGGTTCTGCCACGGTACCAGGGCCCCTCAAGTTCGTTGTTTGTCATAGAAGAGAGACATTCGGTGCGAACTTGGCCCACTTTTGAGACGCCCCAAATGAAGCTGGTGCGTGAGCACTCCTGCTTTATGTTTGTAATAATAAATATTTTGCTGCCCAGTATAGATGATATGTCCATCACATGCTGTATGACGGTGATTGAGACCCGTGAGTCTGCGTCGTTGCCATCTGCAACCAACGAAATGTATTGGATGTATTTGAGGTCGTCTCTAAATCCGGGGACTGTTCCAGGTGTCGTATAATTATCCAAGTTCAACCATGATGTCTCAGTGACTTTCGTAATTTCCCTGACTTTGGGCAGAAGCGGAAACACTGGCCCTACCTTGGTTTCGCATGCTGAACCGGTGAAGGATTTTGGACAGTGACAATTACAGTCCTTCCCCACGTAGCCCAAATTTTTACACTTTGGTGGAGTCTTGCCATTCTTCATACAAGACTGAGTCCAGATCTTGTCGCAGCCGTAGAGGGTGTTGACAGTATAGAGATCATAGTGTGATTGAATGAGGCCGGCGTCCCATCTATAGTCCAGCATATACTGACGACGCACATCTTTCGCGACGAAAAATCGCGCGATGGTCTTTATCTCCAAATTCCGCAGTTCTGTACTGCATGACAGACAAAAAGTCGAACGGCACCGGAATGTCGGCCACTTGGTCCCTCTTGCACACCGCGCCTTGCTGCCAGAGGACTTTTAGCTTACTTGTTAACCCCTTTCCGGCCTGGGGAATCCCGAAGTTCTCAGCATTCACGTGAACGTACTTGTTACGGTCCGGTCTAGACTGCATATGGTAAAAACCAAGAGCGTGACCAAATTCGTGTACCCCGGTCGAGACCCCACATGCACCTGGGCATGACAGTTTCTGTGTTTCTTTCCCGTCAGCATGTTGAAGGCCGATGGCGGACCAACAGCCGTCATAATCGCCCACGCAGATGGCACCGTGAGCGTATTTTTGCTCGCACGGCCCCTCGGGCAGCTGGTTAAATCGAATGCAAGTGCTGTTGGTCCAGATCTGAACGGCGGACTTGACCTGTTCCCGATGGGCTTTCGTTTCCGTGTCGAAAAAGTACCAGCATTGCGCCACCCCATTGGAATCCTTCCACATCCTTGTGCTTTTAAATGATGAAGTGCGATCTTGGCTCAACTCTGGAAGAATTTTGTCAGGGCTATATGCCATGTCACCAATGACCACGACTGGGGGCCCGTTCGGGAATTGCCGCACAACATACCCATGCTCTTGCAGAATGTTTGCCATCTCTTGGTACGTGTAGTTGTTCCACTTCCAGGATGTCGAGATACCTTTCTTCCCGAAGCTATCTGTATAGGTCACCTCTCGCTTGGCTGCAACAATCATGAATTGTAAAAACAGAAATAACAGCATTTCTATCTCGTCCATGGTAGTGTTGTACGTCAATGGACAATGCAGCAGCTTGACTATTTCCAACAACCGAACTGTAATAATAAGCGTAGGATTTACGGTACAGTATTTGCAATGGACTCTGTGGTACTGAAAAGTGAAGGGGTCAATATATTGTGTAAGCTTTACTTCTCCAGATTCTTCACTGCTTCTACCCGTTTTCTTCTAAAGCATTACTCGCGAATCGCAACTGGTGTATGCTCAACACGCTGTCAAGCAGTTATCTTTTCAACAACCTGTGACATTGTGGCAGCGTGTCCTCGACCTTGACGAACTCGGTGCGCCCGAGATGCACCAAATTCGCACACAGTGTCAAAGGATAAACTGCCAGCAATCGAGGACAAAATGCACAAAGAGCTTGCATTCACATTGTTTGTTTAACGTCATTTGTGACAACATGTACAAGTGCTGTAAAGTTTCATTTCACTCAACTGCGGATTGTGGATGTCAAATATTGCGATTTTCTTATATCATGTGCCCAATATCACCTCTATGAAGAACCATGTAAAAACAGCACAAACGGATCTAGGTAGACAGGCAATCCTTCCCAATCTTGGCCAGGGCTTGAATGTGATGGAATTAAGCCGAGTGTCACAAGTTTCCACAAAACAAGTGCAAAGCAGGCTAAACAGACCATGGGTGTATGGGCCAAGGGGGCAAAGCAGAGGCGCAAAAGGAGACAAGGTCCCACTTTTCAAGGTGAATAGGCCGGTAATGTCAAGTGCCCCTCCCCCCCCCCCCCCCACACACACTTTTCACAACCAATCTGCGTTCAGCCTGCTTTTAGTATTACATTTATCATTGTTTTGGTCTGTTTTCATCTTGACCTTGTCTGCGAGAACGGAAGCCAAACGGCACTGGAAGGTTGGATTCTAATAAACTAAAGGAAGCGGACGTTTAAGGACTGCGTGGTGTAAGCCGCTATCTATTTGATAATGGTTCAGTGGGCTCTTTCCCCGACAAAACGATTGTATTTTCAACAGGTTCAATTAAGGCCCGTTGAAATATCGTGGACTGGCTGCAGGATCCGGCACAGATAACGCCTCTTGTTAGATGCCATGAAAGCCTATGCCGAACGGCATGGACGCAGGCGCAGGCTTTTTTAAAACCTGGCGGGTGGGTTAATACTCGTCGCTTCTGTTACAGCATCTCTATTGCACGAGCTGAACATGCGGAACACTGAACAAGGAACATCTTTTCAGGCTGGTTTTAAGCAACCTAAAAAGGAAAGGACATCCCAGGTATGTACAGGTCAGTCCAGGTGAGGACAGGATGTGTTCTCGGCATTGATACCGGTGCTAGGCGCTGCCCATCTACCAGCCGCATCCGCCAGCAGCTCCCTGATCGCAACAGCTGCCAATCACGAAGGCAGCTTCAAGCACATCGCCTGTTCTGATCGCAGCAATCGCTTCATTCTCGGTAGTCACTCCGTTCACAGCGGCGAACCTCCAAGAGCAGCAAACCGGCCACAGGAGTCGCTCTAATTACAGCGGTCCCAGCAACTGTTTTAATCATATCAGTTGCTTTGGTCACAGCAGCTGATCATGAACAGCAGTTGCCAAGAGCTGCTTCATTCACAGCGGCACATCGGCCACATGATCTTCAGTCATAGCATCTGCCGCGGCCACAGCGGTTGACACAATCACTTGGCATCGACGAACTCCTCAGCTGAGCTGTCGGGAGCGTCCTCCGGTTGTTCAGCGATGGTTGCCGGTCCCTCCGGCCGCTTCCAGGGCACGCGGCGGATGTGCCTGGGAGGCGAGACTGCCGGGGACACACTCAGGTCAGCTCATCAGCTCGAGTTGTCCGAGTCGACATAGTCCAGATCGGTTCAGCGCAGCTCACTGAGCCAGCCCGCCCACGTGTCCCCCTGGGGCCCATCTGTCCTGGCTCCCCACGTCTGCCGCCGGGCCTCCCACGCCTCCGTTGCCCACCCGTCCCTTTCCTCCGCGTCTGCCGCCGGGCCCCTACGTCCCCGGAGCCCATCTGTGCCCTCTTCCCGCGTCTGCCGCCGGGTTTGCTATGCTCCTCTCCCGTCGGGGCTAATCTATGTCTTTCTGCGGGCTGTGGCGCCTCACTTTTTGAGGCTCTCCCCATCAGTGGCTGCTTGGGCGCGCTAGCGGGTGGCGGGGCCGTCGTCGCGGAACCAGGCGGACCGCGCGGTGAAGAGGACGCGGCTGGCTGCGTTGCCGGCGCCGCCGCCGCCGGTAGAACGACGGCGCGCTGCCGTGCCGCGCCTGGCCCCGTGCTCGGAGGCAGCTGAGCTGGAACAAAGGGCGCCTGAATCCTGGGGCATTCGGCGCCCACGAGACTCGTTGCGGTGGTAGGCGCAAGACCGTCAGTGATGGAACCGATAGCCCGTAGGGACCCATAGCACGGAGTGGCGAATGTCCTCAGCTACAAGCGTGCAACATCTTGTCGAAGATGCAGGACGCCAAATGTTTCCGCGTCTTGTTTACTCTCCCCACACATACATCACGCAATCTGTGCGTCTTCCCATGCATACATAATCACCGCAGCTGCGCGCCTGCGCAGCCCGCCCTCTGGCGACGAGCCGCTCGGTCGCCAGAGGACCCCTGCGCCGGTCGCGCGCCGCCGCCATCAGCGCCGTACCTGGTGGCCGCTCGCTCAGCTGCGGCCGGCCGGCGTCCGTTGGCGTCGTCGATAGCTGGGCCGGACCAGGGTCGCTGCCGTGGTGCTGGTCGGCCGGCCGGTCATCACCGGCCCCGCTCTCGCCCTCGTCCTGAGGCAGGAGCGCACGCCGGGCAGGCGCTGACGGGGTAGCTGAGAACCTTGCTTCCGTGTGTGTACTGTCAGCGACGTGTCCAAGGAAAGAGGGCGATCGGACCCCCTACCTCATCGGCTTGAAATGCTGGCGTCCTTTCGCCGGGATAAGGTGCTTTATAGCCATGTGTAGAGGTGCCCCGGCAGGGGCAGATCCCGAACTTTGTCAAGAGAGGGCCCATGCTTTATTGTAATACCCCCTGTAACTTGGTGCCGCCTCCCCCTTACAAATAACACTCCGGATTTCGGCACCTTTATTGGCAATCTTATGTTCTAATTGGTAAAATATCTTCCGTTGGAGTGATCCACCTGATTTGTTTGGTGTTTACTTATTGTTTATTTGGGACATAAGCATTCCGCATGCAAAAGCCCAATTTCGGAAGCATTCCAGCTTTAAGAACAACAAATATACGATACACACAAACAAAAAACCTAACCAAACACACCCACACACGCACGCACGCCACACACACGCACACGCACACGCACACGCACACGCACACGCACACGCACACGCACACGCACCCACACCCACACCCACACACCCACACCTACACCCACACCCCACCCACACCCACACCCACACCCACATCCACACCCACACCCACACCCACACCCACACCCACACCCACACCCACACCCACACCCACACCCACACCCCCACACACACACATTACACACAGTCGCACATGAGTCATCAAGGGAATGTTCCGCGTGTGCCGGCGAACCTAAACAAATCAGATCGGAATGATTTTGTTGGTTGAAAAAAGTCAGTTGAAGGAAAATGCTGCAAAAATTGATTTCAGACGGCGGGTAGTCGTGCGACAAACCCATTTTTAACAGTGTTGACTCTTGCAAATGGCTCGTGGAAAAGGCTAACATGCCGAGAGCCGGACGGGTGCAGCCAGACTGAACAGTGACTTCACGTGAGCGCAGTCAAGCCTGTGATGAAACACGTTGTATAGAAATAAGATGTTAGATTGAATGGGGCGTGCCTTGATAGATGATGTTTTGAAGAAGGCGAAAAGATGCTCATAATCCAGTGGAGGACACCGGGACCGGCTACTCGAACCCAACCATACGAGAAAGCGGTGTTTGTAGTCTTTCGAACCTGGCGAGATGGGGGAAACGGTAGCACCGCTCCAAATAATGCTACCGTTCTCTATCAACGGCATCACATGATCGTTGAAGGCACAAAGCAAAGCCTTGTGATTGAACCGCAACTGACAAGGACGCGACGCCATTCGTTCATTGTTTTTATGTTGGGCAACAGTATGAGTGTTTGTCTACAAATAAATGATGGCTAATGTAGCTGTTGTTTGGCGGGTCGTATCATATCGTCTCTCGTAACTATGCAGACTGTTACTGCTATGAAATGATATGACTGTCCCGAACCATGGAGTTGTAATGTTTTACGCAGCCCGTTAACGCGGTGTCTCTCGGTCCTCATGATTCCTCCCTCCCATGATTCCTCCTTCCCGTCATGCAATCCGGGCCGGCGTCGTTTCGTTGCTGGCGCCGATGCTGCACACCGGTCCAGTACAACCGCCGCAGCATTGCTAGTTCCGGCCATACGGCCGCAACCAGCTTGTTGGCAGTACGAGGCCTGAAATGCAGGTGTTTGTGCTTGTGTCGCACTACACAGGGGCTCGGGTTATCAACTGAGGAAAACAACAGGGCAGCTGCTGCCACCTTTCTCTATCGTCGCCGAAGATTGCGACGTGCGCGACACCGGTGACCTTGGCGTGATTTACTGAAGGCGTCAGCTGAAGATGGCCGGAGGCAAACCAGACAGTGCAGCAATAAAACACGGGACGCCTAGGGCCTCCGCACCGTTTGCGTCTTTTCGGCTTCCTGCCTTCTCGGCTGAAGAAGAAAAGCTGTGGCTGATATAAGTTAACTGCGCCTTCGACGTTTCCGGAGCCGACTATCCCGCCTCCAAATTAAAACTGCTGGACGCGAATCTTCCGATGTCCGTGGCTGTTCAGGTTCGCCATGTCATCATCGGGCAGGCCGGAGACTACACGGCCCTCTGAGAAGCGCTGCATCAGCAATTAGCCATGTCCCTTGCCAGCCGTCTGGAGGCCCTCTTACGTCATCAACAGCTCGAGGACAGGTTCCATTCAAGCTTCTACACAACATGCGTGGGCAGTTGGCGGCCGGTGATGCCACGACCGACAGTGACCTCTTGAGAAATACTGCGTTGTCAAGTTGCATAATATATCATAACAGCCATGGCTCGAGACAGTTATGTCATTTCATAGCAGCAATTTGCCACCAAATTTTGGTGCCCCTTCGGCCCAAGGGGGCTATGGTCCGATGCCTACCCCTCCCTGTATGTGCCACTGGTTTCAGGTGCATATAAAGGTGCGCCCCAAGCCGTGTTAAGGGGGGGGGGGGACGCACAAAAGACCAAGCAGGCCGACACGCCGAACCAAGGCCTGCCTGCCTGGTCTCTGCCCTGCCGCCAGGGAGGTAAGTGCGGGAACCCCAGGACCAGATGCAGGGTCTCACCAAACGCCGTCACAAAGGCGCATCAGAGGGAATGATGATGTCAAGTTCCCAGTTGAACCTGATTGCACGAGGAAGGGAGGTGCTTATAAGCTTGGAGAGAGAGGCACGTAAGTCTGAAGCTTGTAGGAGAGCCACGAGCAGGGCAGCCATGGAAGTGCGGCCCTGTTAAATTCATAGGACCACTCCAAACTCAGGGGTGTACTCAAAACATAGCGGTGTGGCGTCTCATCTTATGTAGGGGTGTCCCAAGACCAGGTAAAGGAGTGTCTCACAGATGGACAAATAATAAAGCAGAAAAAAATGACGAGAGAGAGAGAGAGAGAGAGAGAGAGAGAGCGAGAGAGAGAGAGAGAGAGAGAGAGATGTAGAGAGAGACTGCGATAGAGAGAGAGAGAGAGAGAGATAGAGAGAGAGATAGATAAGATGATAGATGAGTAGGAGAGAGAGAGAATAGAGAGCGAGATAGAGACGATGAGATAATAGAGCAGAAGATAAGAAGAGAAAGAGAGATATAGTAAGAGTAGATGATAGAGAATGAGAGATCTGTATAGAAGATGACATAGGAGAGACGAAGAGAGATAGAAAGAACAGATAGTATGGCGAGATATAGATGAAGAAAAAAAGAGAGAGAGATGAGAGGAGAGAGAGAGAGAGAAATGACAAGGAGTAATCAAAGCTTAGGCAAGGAATTAGTGCCCTGGCCATGTAGGGAATCGGGGGGCTACGAACACAGACAGAGGGACGTCCAAAATTCAGGGGCAAATCTGCATCTACAGCCTTTCATAGTTGTGATGTGGAGCGCTGCAACACAGATGCTCGCCAGGGATGGAGGAGGCAGCGGCAAGGCGAACTATCTGTGTTGAAGGGCTGAGCAATATTCATATGTAACGCATCAGAGCGGTGGCTGTGTGGACTTCCAACGAACAGCCTGTGCTGAACCGGATAATCAATGCTTCCAAGGGCAAATTGTGGTGGCAAATATGACATTCATAATAACGGCTTAAACATTACAGCCTTTGAGTGGGCGCGATGTGTGTAAACCACTGCCACTCTTTATGCAAACTTGCATACAAACCCACCGCGATAAAGGACCCCACCGCCGATAAATCAGGACCACATGGAATAAATAATTACGAAATATTGAGGAGCGTTGAGAAACATTACAAACTTAGCGGGTCCAATCCCAATGGATCGAACTGAGAACTGTCAGGTTTAACCTTCAAGAAAAAGGCATGATGCTCACGCGCGCTTTATTTCTCATTTTGGTTTTAATTGGGGCGATAAACTAATGTTTCATACGGACAGCCATGAGCACGTCTCCTGCCCTGAACCAGATCGGATCGAACTTCAGATATGCAAAAAGGAGACAGACGCACTGGATTTGGAAACTTCTGGTTGGAGTAAATTGGTTTCGTGCGGCAAGACCCACACGCCTCTTCCGCAATTTGAGAACCGCACACGATCATCGTGCAGCATATGGGAGCAGGCGACCGGGCGCGCCTGTATCGCCCCGATCGCACGGCCCCAGCGGCTGACTGACCGGCTCCCGAACTGGCGTGCCTCGAATCAGTCTGCGCAGAAAGGCCAGGCGATCGGGCCGGGACGTGATGGGCACGTAGTCGGTCAAGATGCGGCGCACCTCCGCGTGTACGCTCTCCGTGAACTGGGTGGGCGCCGCCGGCGGCCAGACAGGCGGTAGCCGCTGCAGCTGCTCTGCCGGTCACGCGGCGCCCGAGGCACTGTGACGTCACGCGCTGGCCGCACGCCCCGCCCACAACATGGCGCCCGCGGAGGGGCTCAGGTGACGCTTCGGTTTAGGGTGGGGCAGTGACGGGGAGGATCCGTCCCCGATAGCGGCGGGTTTGCCCCGACAAATCGAAGGCCGCGGACAACGGCTTTTGTGTTTAAAAGGGGAATGACATAAAGCCGAAGGATTTGCTTGATATGCAACAAACCACGTTACATGCACGGGAAAGTCGGGTGAGGCGCAGTTCCAAAGTAGGCAAGCCTACGCAATCCTACCTCATCTCCGTTATGATATCTCAGCAGCTCACTAGCTCCACGACCACCTAACACGAGCAATAAACGTACTTCTGAAACATTAAGCCTTCATTCACAGAAAAGGAAAAATGGTGGTACCTTTGTAAGTACAGGAAGCACCATCCAACGGGGTCGGCGCAGCGGATTTTTAGTTGGGGCATGGTTCTTCGGGGGCCTTCTGGAGAAAATGGGCCTCTTCGCAGGGATGGCCCCCTGGCCAGTATCGTAGTCCATGGGATGACGAACGGTGGGATCCACCTCATCAAGCTGCTACATGCGTCATATCCAAGTAATTGATGCAGGGAATTGACAAATTCACAATGGAGGCCTTTTGGGTAGCCGGTAAAGGGTCTCCCTATCTTGAAGCACGACATCTTGCTCCATGAAAGCGTCTTAATGGAATAAAAGGACCCCATCCACAGCAGGACACTTCCGATTCACGAAATGGTCTCCAAATGTATCCAAGGGGCCCCATCCCAAAGCAGGACACCCTTATCCGAAACAGCGGTTATCTGACGCGTGACAGAGGCATTCTTAAAAAGAGTGCCTTCTTACTAAGAAGAGAGCCTCCCAGTTCGTAACGGGGTCTCCCGGGTCAGCAAACGGCATCATTTACACATCATTACACATCATTGGACGCCGTTATCTAGAACATCGGCTACCTGATTCATACAGGTGCTCTCATTACCCGGAAATCGTATCTCTCCGTGTAGAAAATAGTCTCTTGAGCTCGATTGATTGCTGTCAAGCTTAGTTATGGAGGCCTCCCTGTTCTGCGTTTCGGGAGTCTACGGGTACAATACCTTTCGTAGGAAAAACGGGCATTCCAAAAACTGGGGAGGGGGAACATACTCTTGCTTCCTCTCTCCTTCCTCCTCACCTCCTGCTGCACCATCCCTGCCATCCAATAGAAATCCAGAGCATGCAAGTGGGAAGAGAGGTGTACCAAGCTCTTAGTCTTGGTAGGCCTTGCCCAAGCTATTCTATGTTTCGTCTAGAGCTAGCTAGTAATTCGGAAATCCACTTGAAGTCGGGTACATTTGTGCTTTTTTACTTCCTTGGGGGTAGTAAAATTTACCTATCCCGCTTGCCACAAGCCGGCGGCGGGCGAGCTCTGGCTCCTCCAGGTCACCCACCGTCCCAGTGGGTGACGGTGGAACAGGTCCAGGGCACGAAGGCGGGCGCGTGCTGCGGCATGGGCACCAGCACCTCGCCGTCGCGCTCCTCAGGCAGAGTCAGACGCGGGAACATGCTGCGCCCCAGATCTCGACTGGCGTCGAAGGCGGCGTTCTCCAGCTGCGGCACGGCAACGGGCGAGGCGGGCTGTGATGTTACCAAGGGCGGGGTTTGAGGGCGACGGGGAAGCTCGGGCACGCACTGGCAAGGGGCGAGGCGGACCGTGATGTTACCGAGGGCGGGGTTTGAGGGCGACGGGGAAGCTTGGGCACGCACGGCAAGGGGCGAGGCGGACCGTGATGTTACCGAGGGCGGGGTTTGAGGGCGGCAGGGAAGCTCGGGCACGGGGTGGCGGTGGCCGGTGTGCTTGACATCCGTGTTTAAGTTTTGGGAGAAGGCACCCAAGGTCATGGATGAATATTTATTGATAAAGGCTGCATGCCTACACGTACACATTATTCGCATAAGCAGACACACAATACGTCCGAGTTGCACGGGGGCCAGGCGATTTTAGTCCATTAAGCTGGACTTACCAAAAGATACATTTTGTAACTGAGTTCCTGTGAAATAAGCGCCAACAGAATACATAGGATGGAAGGAGTGACGGGACACGACCAGGGGCACCCTCGCACGCATATGAATGTGTCCATATCACTGGGAAACAGTGTCTACAGTGCACAGCTCACTTGTGTGGAGTAGCAGAATCCCATGGAGCCGTACATGAAGGCGAACTCGAGATCCAGGCTGGCCACCACGCGACCGTCGAGCCTCAGCGAAACCACGTCAATCACCATCATAGCCTTGATGATCTCGTGAAGGTGCACCTCCGCCTCACCTGCCGCCGCGCGCCGTCACCGGCCGGACTCAGCGGGCATTTAAGCGGGGAGATCCCACCTTCAAGCAAACCCTAGTACAGCGCTTATGCGTCCCTGTGTAGAGTGGCGATGCTGTGAAGTGACATAATAACAGTGACAGTGACATAATGACAGTGACAGTGACAGTGGCATAATGGCAGTGACACATAATTATCAGTGTCTCCTCCACGCCGCTAACGACCTTCGATTGGCAGCCTATCCATTGGATCATATGGTAAGCCATGGGACGCGTTCTTCCTCGCTGTCGTGAGTTTTGCAGGCAAGCGCTGATTGTATTCACAAATGTTGATGTCACACACCGGTGCCCCTTACCCACGAGCTCTGGTGGTGCGGTGTCCTTGGTATCAAGGTGCACGCTGTACAGCCCGAACCTCAAAACATTGGCGGGATCAGAAACTTGCTGCGGAATCTGAAAATATACAGAAGACAGGCATTGGGAGCATGTCCTTAAAACACGAACGTGCCTGCACACATGAGGTCTTGGCCATTATTAATGACTGAACGAACACTGTCGAATGTCATGTAAGCTCTGGTTTGAATCTTCGCCGGGACACAGCATATCGCCACCTTCCAAGGCAGAAGAGTTACGCCCCCCCCCCCCCCCCAACGATCCCACATCGCACATGCAAGAGCCAAATATTCAGTAAAGCAGCGATGAAATTAGACGCATTCTGCCACGTAAGCTAAATCATTGTATTTTATTTTCTTATACCTGACCTACCAGGAGAAGAACGAGCTAGACCCACAGCGGAGAGTGGTATCAGTTTTCAGAAGTGTCAGTAGGTAGAGTGGTATCGCTTTTTGCTCTGATCACTGTCGTACAAGAATTGCTGAAAATATAGCTAAGATTCTTATATCTGCGAACAACTCTACCCATGAGCTATATATGTAGCGATAAAATCTCGGAGAACGTCGTCAGTTTTTGGTAAATGACTGTAGAATGAGCCCTTAACGAATGATGTCACTTGCATCACAATGGGGAGCAAGCGGCATCACCTGGCAGGAGCGGCGCAGCAAGGTGGGGGGAGGTAGAGGGAGCAAGTGGCGTCACCTGGCAGGAGCGGCGCAGCAGGGGGCGAAGTAGAGGGAGCAAGTGGCGTCACCTGGGAAGAGCGGCGCAGCAGGGTGGGAAGTAGGGGGAGCAAGTGGTGTCACTTGGCAGGAGCGGCGCAGCAGGGGGGGGGGAAGAGGTAGAGGGGGCGAGAGCATGTTCCCCACCCCAATTTTGGGGAGACGTTTTCCCCAATTAAATGCACTGTAGTTACATAGCCTGATTCATAGAAGTAACCTAGCGACTAGTCCAAATCTAGAGGTGGCCAAATTTAGAGCATTGGCTACCTGTACCCAATTGTTTGCATCAGGATGCCGAATGTTTGATTAAAGAGGCCCCGTTCATGCCTCAGATAGCCGCGGTTTCCGGATAAGAATGCACTGTTTTGTGATAGCGAGGTCCCTTGACTAGATTTGGAGACCCATTTGTAAATCGCATACGTCCTGTTCTGCATTAGAAAGCCCCTACTTTCTTCGGAAAACAGGCTCTCCAGACCCTTTCTCAGATAATTAGAAGGCCCCTTCCAGATTTTTCACCTGTCGACAACTATTTACTTAGATGTGATACATGTGACAGTTTCATAAGGGGGCACATAACCTCGGTGTCCTCCCCTTGAAAACGCCGCTGTGTAATACGCCGCCCTGTGAGAATACCACATTTTGTCCACAAGGCCCAATGGAAAATATTGTCTCTCCCCCAACTACAAACCCGTGGCGCCGCCCCCGCCACCTGGCGGGAGAGGCTGCGTTAGGTTATTTTGTTGTATGGAGTAGATTTCATCGCAAGTCAGCTGAATGCGGTACGATATGTAAATAAGATAAGTTTTTCTCTGCTACTTCGTAGCTAATGTGATTTTGACATGACAATTTTTGTCGTTCTTAGCCAATCAGAGTTTGTTTTACGGTTCTTGGCTCGTAGGTTTCAGGAACAACTATTGATTTTTTTTTGTCGGGACCCCAATAAGTCATGGAAATCATGTCAGTCGATCATTGACAGTCAGTCGGTTAACGGCATTACTGCCAGTACATTGTATCACTGATACAAGATGCCCCAGGCACAGCTGACGCAACGTGCACCGCCCGAAATGTTGGAAGAAGGTTCGCACCACCCGGAAATCCTTGCCAAGCAGGCGCGCAATGTTTGCGGCATAAATGGCAAACATACATTCCCATCACTCAGTATAGCATTTAGCATTAGTCTTCTGGTTTGACGGCACCCTGAGCGCACATTTCCACTAATTTCAGGAGTTTTTATCGGTAAACGAAACAACATATTTGTCGCGCTCACCCTATGATGCGTGCATGCATGCTGTCGAAAGTGCACTGAAATACTGAATGCGCTGTTGCGCGTCAGCTGAGTGACTTAAGACTGCCATCCATTCATTTTGGATCGATGGACTTCTGTGATCAGAGCTTACGCTGAGCAGTGCTTGTTATGTGAGTCTTGACCCATACCTTCCGTTCGTACAATTCCAGATTAACGGCCGGAGTTCAGAGGCGAAAGTTTGAAATGCCGCAATGCTCGGCATGGTCTGTCCTGCCCTATGATGACATCTGACCCGTATTGCGGCCACCACCACCTGTCACAGGCCATACCTGTCTAGGGCAAATAGTGAGCGTGTTAAGTAACCCAGACTCACCCTGCCACGGGTGGGTGGATCAAAGACATGACGCACCTCACCCCATTCTCCTCTATTCGCCCTCTCGTGTGCTTTTTCAGATGTCTTCAAAGTAAAGATAAACTCTGAACAGGAGAGGCGAGCTCAGGGAGACTGATTTCACGCCAAGCCATCTATAGTGAAAAAGGAAATGAGGAACTGATGCGGGACTTCCGGCTGCACCCGTGCTTCGGATGATTTCATCTTTAAAAAGAATTTACGGACCCAATATCAGATTGTCAAATCGGAGAATAGAGATATATTCACAATCGATGTGCCGACAATGCTTCTAACACAAATACTGCTAACAACAGCACTTCCACGACACGGATTTTACACCCGATTTCTTCTAATGAAAGAACTTCTAAAATGTAAACTTATAATCGACAGCACTTCTGGTGCAAAACCTTCTGCGCGGCATGATTCCGAATTTCGACTTTCGAACGCAAAATTTCTGAGCGACTTCACTTTTGACGCAAAAACTTCCAACTGCATAGACTTCCACACGACAAAACTTCTAACGAACGAACTTAAACCCATAAATTTCCACACGACACAACATTTTAACACAAGAATTTCTATGCGACAGATCTTCCCACGAAAACCTTCTAAACGAAATTTCTGCCGCGCGACAAAGTGTTTGGCGCAAAACCTTATGCGTAACGTTACCTCTCATGCAAACACTTCTAGCGTATAAAACTTAATGCGATTAAATTACAACGTAAAGCTTCTGCGCGACATTGCTTTTACGCGGCATAACTTTTAACACGGAGTTTTAGGCGACCCTACTTCTAATTTAAGAATCTGTAGGGCATAAGCTTCTAGGCGGCAGAATTCTAACGCAGGAAGACCCTGCTTCTCACAAGGAATATCAATGCCCGTTTTTCATATTTCCGACATCTCGGGGGAAATATTGTTATGAACAAGAAGACAAGCATTTGTCAGCACCAATAAAGATAAACGTATCTATAGATTATGCATGTCTGAGTATGTCCCAATGCGCAACATGTGTGCACAGGCAGTAACTGCAGTTAATTGTTGTGCAAATTATTTTTGATTTTGAAACGGTGTTTTGCTGAAATTACTGCGCGCAATTTGAAACGCATGGCTCGAAATATTGGCACATGTCAAGTTAGATGGCATAGGTGTCAATTAACAGTATCTCATGAGCTACTGAATCGGGAGGCATTATCCCAGCCTGGAGCAGATACAAGGGGCTCTGGGGACTATTTCTCCACTCGTGGATCGGGAGCCGCGTGGTCGACCTTTCAGGCCCGAAAGGCTCGAAAGGCAGATCAAAATTTCGGGTTCTCAGTGAAGCATTATGGGGTCCGTCTGCCGGCGAGGGGTCCCAGAACTGAAATATTGACCTCGGTACCTAACTGGGGCCCGGTACTAGGTAGCTAACCACATGCAGGACAGCACCAGAACCAAGACCCAAGTTAAATGAGAGGGCCTCCGTCGGCGTCGCTCTTGGGCCCCTTGATTTGTTGAGGGGCCCTTTGTTGCCTAAGGAGCCCTGGTACTGAGCGCTAAACTAAACACGGGATATGTTGAGTTGCCGTTGATCCCCGATGCTGAACAGAGGATCCACGGCACTGAACTGCGCCTCCGTAGATCCACAACATTGAACAGGGCTCTGAGCCGGCCAGGACCCTCATCAGCCGAACGAATTCAGTCAAAGTGACTCCTCTTAAATAAAATATAATAAAAACAGGAGAACCAGTGAGACCATGAGAAGCCTCCCGGTCGTGGACCCCGGCCCCGGAGAGCGCCCCATATCAGTCAGGGCTCCGGGGCCTCTTGTACAACAACAGGTAGAGGTGTCTGTGCCAGCCAGGGTTTCATTAACCGAATAAAAGCATGGCTCAGAATCCAAGAATTCAGATCATAGGGCGTTCTACGTCGCTCAGATGACCTTAAGACAGGGGTGGAGTTTCCTTTTCGGTTGTCCGTCCCGGTGGCTCAGTTGGTTAGAGCGCCTGCTTTCCGATCCACCCACCCGTGGCGGGCTGGGTTCGAGTCGCTTTAGGGCGCTCGCTATTTGCCCTTGGCAGGTGTGGCCTTCGGCCGGTGGCAGCGGTCGCGCTAAAGGTCAGTTGACGTCAGAGGGTAGGACGGACCGTGCCGAGCATTGCGGCACGTAAAGCTTTCACCACTAATTTCCGCCGTTGCCTGGAATTGCGCGATCGGATGGTGGGGTTCAGGGCTCACACAACAAGCACTGCTTAGCGTGAGCACTGATCCCAGAAATCCATCCACTCAAAGGGTTCGGACCAAATTTATAAAAAAGACTGGATGCCGCCCCAACTTACGCTACACCTTCCAAACTTTGCGAATAAAAAGGTCCAAATCCGGGACGAATCCCGTTGGCTCGCGGTGTTGGGGTAGTTTGCGTCATTTGTCCTTGCTCAGCCCCCTCCCTCTAACTCAGTTTGCGAAACCATGTTGCTCACTTGAAACAACAGGAGGGTTTCTCTCTTAGTTAGAGGCCTCTGGCACTAATCTGAGAGGTCTGATTGGATACTTATCAGGATCTTGCAAGGCAGTGGGTCTAATGGCCAAACTTTGGCGGGTTCAGGAGCCCGGAATGTTATTCAGAGGATCGCAGCGTCCACTTGGAGCTACCTGTGACGGCTAAAAATCTGACCTCGAGCTCAATTGCTGGTTCTGACCTTCTGGTGGAGTTATCAATCGAAGA